ATTACTCTTGCTTACCATTTGGAATTTTGATTCACGCAAAAAAATAGAAGATTTACTGTTACACAGACTACTGCATTATTATAATAATTGTATAAATAATATCGACCCTTTCTTGTCTACATATTGGAATTTGGACAGGCAGGCGGACAGGTATTAGACGGTGATGTCATTTGTTTACTCTTGAGCATCGCTAAAGAATAGAACATTTCCGCTTCTGTGAGCGCAATTTCGAGGTACTTTTCGTCATGAAAACCTTCAAAATCATATCTATTTCTGTAATATGTCTTCCATTCTGTCAAATGAGACCGAAAAAACTAGAATATAACAATGAAAACCATAAAAATATTCCGCCAAGTGGCCGCTAATGGCTGAGAAGTGAACTCTGCTATTTATGGTCTGATTTCTTTCTTTTTTGGTGTATGTTAAGAAGTATCTTTCCATCATACATTGCCCAAGTTTCAATAAAATAATCCAACAAACCGTTGAGAAAATAATAATAATTTTATTTACTACATGTACAAGGTATACAGGTCTAGCTGATATTAGTGACATACTACTATGTAGAAAGCTGCTTGTTATGCAGAGTATTTCAAGCAAATTAGGTGTGTCCCAGGATGTGCCCCACACCAGTCCACTGACACCCAGGTACCTATTTTACTGATGGGTGAACATAGACAACAGGTGTAAAGGAACATGCCCAGTGTTTCTACCCTCACTGGTAATCGAATGTTTACCAAAAATCATATATGGCTAACCCAAGCCAGGTACCAGAAATAAGCCATGTTGTCTGACTTTTTTGGGTTATCCTAGGTTCTTTACACATATGCTGCTATATGTAATAATCTAGAGAAAATAGCTTTTTTGTTTCAGGTTTATGGCACAGTACGAGTGTATATCACAGCCATGTGCTATACAGTGGACCCCCGGTTAACGATATTTTTTCACTCCAGAAGTATGTTCAGGTGCCAGTACTGACCGAATTTGTTCCCATAAGGAATAGTGTGAAGTAGATTAGTCCATTTCAGACCCCCAAACATACACGTACAAACGCACTTGCATAAATACACTTACATAATTGGTCGCATTCGGAGGTGATAGTTATGCGGGGGTCCACTGTACTCCGTTTTCTCTAATATAAGCCCCCAAGACTGGGATAGGAGAATGGTACTTGTATCCCATACCTCCGACAAACTGCTCGGTATTATGCCAAATGTTATTCATTCTGGAGTATTTAACATGTTTTATATTATTTATATTGTTTATTATGTCATATTAGATCAATTGTGGTAGGCAATAAGCTGTAGCGTTGATATTAGCGTAATAATAAAGCATAACCCCCTGCATCACGAGACTGAGCTCATGGCAACCGACAGTGGCTTCAAAGCCACCTTATCTAATGGACATTGTACTACTGTGTAGGTGCTTTACACAACGAAAAGCATTTCTTTTATTCATTGGAACCATGGCTAGGGCTAAAAGTAAGCAGGTTATAACAATAAATGGAGAAAAAGAAATAATGACTTATGCAGCAAGTAGCGCCACCAAACAGTACCAGCAGGTTGATGTGGCGACCCTGGAAATTTGAAATTATGCTAGCTGAAATTAGTGCCGAATAACTGATTGCCGGATTTGTGATGGCGGACCTGTATTATAAAATTTCATAATATTGGCCAGTTGCATTGCAAGCAATGCTGTTTACAAATTTACCCTGACAGTAATCAGTCTTCAGCGTAGTTATGAGTGAGGACGTGTAGTTGTACAGAAGTGTTCATTTACGTGTAAATAATCGGTAACTACACACACTTATTTCATACACTGCTTTTAAGATGTAGAGAAATACATAAGAGTAAATTGGTTGAATGGTAAGTTTATTATTGTCAAAGCAAAAAAAAAAAAAAATAGGCTCTGGTCTACTACATGTTACTAGTTTTGTAAGTTGAAGTTTTTCAGTCGCATGACTTATCAGCTGATTTATACTTGTCAGCCATGTTGGGCATGACACTGCAAGGTTTCATTGATAATTCACAGGAATACAGTAAGATTTATGTGATTACAGGGTGAATTGTCTCCTTACACTGGAAAGGATCTGAAAGCTTGCAGTTTGAGGTTTTGTTACAGTTGCATTTACCTGGGGCTGGTGGAAAAATGCATAATAAACTAGACCTTTTATTAATAACATTAGCAGGATAACCTGGTGTTGCCCTGATATATTAGTCTTGTAAGATATGCTACAACTGTGAAAATGAACATTTTTCATTAGCCATTCTTAGGTTTTGTTTTTCTTTTATTGGGGGGAGGGTGCTCAAGGAGACTTGGCCCCGCACAGAATGTCAGGAGGCATGTATGGGGGAACTCCCACTGCACCCACCTTTAAGGAGGCAGATGTGAGGGACTTGTGCCTCTGCAATCATTTTGTCAAGAGTTAGGTGCATCTTACTATTAGGCTCTAAGAAATACGACTGATTTCAATTGAGCTTAGTTTTGATATTAAAATTGATGCAACCAAAACAAAAATTTAATGCAAAGGCCACCATCCCCCTTTTTTTTTTTTTTTAACCCTTTCAGGGTCGAGAGGCCCTCTCCTAAATGGGTTCTCAGGGTCGAAAATTTTTTTGGAAAAAAATTAAATTTTCTTATGAAAAGATAGAGAATCTTTTCCCGATCATAATGACACCAAAAGTATGAAATTTAATAGGAAACTTACGAAATTATGCTCTCGTGAAGTTAGCGGTCTCGATGATGTTTATGCATCGGCGATTTTGCCCACTCTGAGCCCTATTTTCAGTCAGTTTCAGTGTACTAATCGACAAAAATCATAACTTTCGCTAGAATTCCATTTTTTCTATCAAATGAGTACAAGAAACCACCCATTTACCGATTTCAACTATCCAATAAAGTGGTCAGAAATTAGCAATTTTGCCAATTTCACACAAATTTCAAAAGATGCCAATTTCCAAATAGGGTCCAGAATAAACGAGACAGACATTCCTGGCACTAAAATATCATTTCCTCTGTTCATTAGTCACGTCCCCAGGCCTCTCTGTTTCTTTTGCTTTCCACTTTGAATTTTTATTCTCACAAAAATAGAAGATTTACTGTTATGCAGACTAATGCTAGTGTAGAAATGGTATAAATAATATCACGGTGTTTTTGGTGCTTGTTTCTGCAAAATAAGTCACCATGGTCCCCAAGAAAGCTTCTAGTGCCAACCCTGTGGTAAAAAGGGTGAGAATTAGTATGGAAATTAAGAAAAATTTTGAAGGGTTTGGGGCTAACCCTGAGGAGCCTATGCCAGTTGTGGAATCCATTGTGCCTACTTCAAAAATTAAGGAAATGTGTGCAAAGTGGGTTGATCTGCAAACCTTTATGGATGAAAATCACCCTAACACAGCTATTGCAAACCGTGCTGGTGACTATTACAATGACAATGTTATGGCCCATTTTAGACAAATCTTAAAGGAACGGGAGGTACAGACCTCTATGGACAGATTTGTTGTGTGACAGAGGTCCAGTGACTCTCAAGCTGGTCCTAGTAGCATTAAAAGAAGGGAAGTAACCCCAGAAAAGGACTTGCTACCTCAAGTCCTAATGGAAGGGGATTCCCCTTCTAAACATTAACAACTACGACACTCTCCCTTCCTCCCATCCCATCAATCATCACCAGATCTTCATTAAAGGTAAGCGTCATGTATTCTATTGTTAGTAGAGTACTACAAACTGTGCATGTCTTCTTCAGTTTGTGTGCATTAAACTTAATACTTCATGTGGTAAAAAAAAAAAATTTCATACTTTTGGATGTCTTGCATGGATTAATTTGATTTCCATTATTTCTTATGGGGAAAATTAATTCGCCTTTCAATAATTTTGGTATACGATGAGCTCTCAGGAACGGATTAATATCAAATACCATGGGTCCACTGTACTTAGGAAACCCTAAAAGGGTTAATTGGCATAAGAACTAAAATGTCACTCAAGATAGTGTGTTCCTCCAAAACTTAACCCTTGTTCCTCCAGAGAACAAGGAAGCCTGTGGCAGTTTAGTTCCTTTACCTTCATGTTTTAGTGTGGGAGTATTTCATGGTTGAAGTTGGACTGAAACATCGTCAATTTCTTTCTCCTATATGCGGGGTTGTTTGTGTGTGTTCCAGTAAAAGTACGTGTGTATTGTGCTTTTATGTTCTTAGCAAATATATTGAAGATGGTATTTCACCTACAAAATACATAACGGGCATACCTCGCTTTAGGGTGCTTCATTAATGTGACGCTTTTCAATTATTCATGTTTTATTTTTGGCTTTTATTTTTTCACCAGCGATTCATTTTTATTTTTAAGGTAACTTTTTTTAGGTCTAGTGCTATTGTGCATTTAATAAATTATTTAAACATTTTTTTAGACTTTTATATGCACTGGCAAGTGGGGTAATTATATGCACTGGCAAATGGGGGTAAATAAGGCTGTTATTCACTTTAAAGGGGATACTTTTTTATGGCGGTAGTCTGGAACCTAACTTGCTGCATTAGTGAAGTATTCTTGCATCGAGATTTGTTTGGTTTGTAATTTGTTCAAATGGAAGCAGTGTCAAAATATGTCAAAATATTGTGCAGTGGCTGGAATAATACACTTGGGAGACTGAAGATTATGACACCATTTCTGTTCAAATTGGACCATTAATGAGTGGGTTATTTGTGTACTGTACGTGGAAAAACAATCTTGTGTGTACTTCATGAAAATTTATTGAGAATAAATCAATTTCTGGAAGTCTTAACAGATGGGGCATTAGTAATTTTTGCATTAGCTGTTGATGTCCAACAGATTACTTGTTGACAGTAAAATTAAGTGGCAGTGAGGTAACTCACTTCAGATGCCATATTTATTGATAGACCTTTGTGGATCTACAAAAATTAGGTAATTTCTTTGCAGGGAATTTTTACTGGTGTTATGCAACAAAACTCGCTGGGTTTAAAAACAACTTTTGTCTAACGTATGTTCTTGTTCTCTAGGTGGTTCGTGGGCACTACAAAGGCCAGCAAGTAGGGAAGATTGTTAGTGTGTATCGTAAGAAGTACTGCATCTACATAGAGAGAATCCAGAGAGAAAAAGCAAATGGTGCCTCTGTTTATGTTGGCATCCATCCCTCTAAGGTAATTTCCATTTAGATAATCCATATTGATGCTTATGTATAATTTGTGTAACATGATGATAATGCAATCCATTCTCCGAGAGATGCAGTGGTTGGAAAGTTGTGGCTTTGTCACAGTGTGCAGTCACTGGTGTGTGGGCAAGGTTCTCTTGTCCATCTCTCCACCTGACACACAGGCTTTCTAGCTTTTGCACCAGGCATGTACTTGCCTGGCTCTTAAGACGAGTAAACTGCTTCTGAATATAAATATGTATAAACATTTTAGCCCTTAAATATTTTTAATTGCTTTGAATTCAGTCATTTTAGAGTTAAGGTTAATTTTGAATTTTATGAGCTTAATTGAAGTGCTAATTTAAAGATATAATTAAATCTCTTTCTAGGTATGCGTGGTGAAGCTCAAAATGGACAAAGACCGCAAGAAGATCATAGAAAGGAGAGCAGCAGGGCGTGCTGCAAGACAAGGAAAGGACAAAGAGAAACTCACTGCTCTGGATACCTCTTCCTAAATAAAGCCTCTTAATTATTTTTATCATTTCATCTACCTGCAAGTAAAGAAGTTAGTGGAAAATGTAGCCTTATGGAGACCCTTAAGGGAGAGGATGCCTCTGCAGGTGAAGAGTGCTTGATCCCGCTAATTTTACCATTCCTTCTGATGAGACCTGATAACTACTAATTTCCCAGGTAGATTCAGTGCTTCAACTGGATCTGTTACCTTAAAAAAAGTGTATATGGGTGCTTTGATGGTGATGGAGGGCTCTATACCCTAAAGATAAGTAAAAGGTTCTTTTCACTGTTTTTGAGTTGCCCCTTCCATTCAATCATCCCTTGGGAGATTCCTTGTTGGCAACTCTCTCTGACCTCGCTTAGTCCCTCCTTGAATGCACTCCCTGTATTATTACTATTTAATATTTTAGTGCTGTATTACCCTTGTGGGTTTAGCACATAATGATCATAATAATGCACCAACTTTAATTCCATTTTCCTCTTGTAATTCCCACCTCTGCTAATACCTACCCCCCTCTGCAGAGCTGCATGACCCTTATGGGTTTAGCACTTAGGTTTATGGGGAATCTACAAACCCAAGGTTTATGGGGAATCTACAAACCCATAGGGGTCATAGTTCATGGGGAATATCGTAGGTTCATGACATACCAGTCTGGTACTGCTGACCATACCAACACATCCTACAGCCTACTTGCCTCCCTCTTGCCTTAATTGTAATGACACCCGGCTTATTCTCGCTGTTGCCAAGTTTACCTAAATCGAGAAATTAGTTGTCTAAGAGAGGAGGGTTCAACGTATGCCATGGCAGTCTAATCTGTCTCCAGGGGAGACTTGAAAGACTTCAGAATATTCTCGAGTTACTAAGAGGCCTCTGGTCAGAACATCGTCACCTCTGTATCTAACCTTTGCAGTCCTGGACCTCGTCACCTCATACTGTTCTCGAGTCCATTGCAGCGCTGTATAGCCCTTGTGGCTTAGCGCCTCTTTTTGATTATAATAAAATCTTTGGTCGATCTCTCGCATGTTCTCAAGCTCGCACAACTACACCATCCCTTCGCCTCTACTCCAGTCTAAAAAAACACCCAAGGTTCAAATCTTAAACCCTCCTTCACTTATCCTTACCAAACATTTTTCCAGTCTCTGTACCTATTTCTTCAGCTTACACTAGCTTTGTTAGGAGTGGAGGTTCATCCTCCCCCTCGAATAGTTTATTCCCAAATTAATTCTAACCTTACAACCCCCCCCCCTCCCTCCTTTCTCTTTGGTAACTAATTCATCCATCTACCCTCCCCTTCTATCTCTGATGTACCACATTCAACTTCCTTGTCTGTTTTAGCGCTCCCCCATGATTATAATCCTTGTCCTCTGAAACTCTAGAAAACTTTCTCCGAAAATGTTAGACACAAAACCATTAATAGACCCTGATCCACCTCCCATCGCTTCTCTTCACTCTTCTAAATCATCTGCACAACTTCGCAGCGTTCCAGTCTTTCGCTGTTTACTAGTTTTCTGCTACCTCCACATGTAGACTTGACTAACCCTCCTAGTCCGTAGTCACATACTGCTTCATGTTACCGGTATACTTCTCTTCGCAAATCGTGACTTACTTACAGTGGAATATTCGTGGCCTCGAGGGTAATCTGGGTGAGCTTAGGGTGTTGCTCTCCCAGTTTTTTTCCCAGTTTGTGTGTTTACAAAGACCTGAATTACGCTCCACTGTTACCTATCGCCCCTCAAGGAAGGTTCCTTGATGCTGGTGAGGGGCTCTTGATCTAGGGAACTGGATCTCTGCTCCAGTTCCCTGAATTAACCCTGAATACCTTCCATCCCCCCCACAGGCGCTGTATAATCCTACGGGTTTAGCGCTTCCCCTTGATTATAATGATGCCTATCGCTTCTCGGGCTGTTTTATTGCACTGTATAACCCTTGTGGTTTAACCCTTCTTTTGATAATAATAATTTGTTTTATTGCATTCATCCATTCCTTTTCCCGATGGAACTTAATGAAAGTGCACGTCTTGTACGTTCTGGTATACCATTCCATTTGGTTTAGCACTTTTGATTATAATATCATACATACCAAAAGATCTGTTCATTCGCTCCTCTTCAAGGGAGGCTCCTTGGCGTGGTGAAGAGGCTCTTGGTCTGAGGAATTAGACCTGTCGGTCTTCCTCAGACTGAACCTAATTACCCCCCAATCTCCCCTCCCCTATCCCATCCTCTCCATCCTCCCCTTTTTCCTTTCCTCCTCCTCCTCCCCACCCCTCCCTTTTGCCCTTCCTCTTTTTGGCCTTTGGGATTTCTCCCACAGGCACGCTAGTTCCTAGGTAGGGGAAAGGATACCGGGGTCCATCCCATTCCGTTGAGGTTCTTGGCAGTGGCGTAGTTTGCTGTGGAATCTGGATCGCTTGGGGATGTCCCGAACCCTCTCCGGTATCCGGAGTAGCTTTGGGTGTCTTTCGGGCGACGGGTGTATCTCTGGAAGCCACCTTTCGGATTCCGGGGGTGGTGGCCGAAGGAGGTATGCTTTGTGGCAGATATCCGGCCGCCCTCTCTTGTCCACCGAGGTAGCTCGGCAGATGTGAGGTTGCTATCCCGGATTGCTGGTTTACTAGCATGATGGGTAGGGTATGGCACGGGTTCCATGCTGCATCTGCCCTACTAGCGGTGCTGAGGTCCTCTTGGGCGCGGAGGGAGATTTCCGGCCCTTTCATTCCTCCTGGGAACTATTCCTCCCGGCTTCCCCCTTTTTTTTATTCTTTTTTTTAATTTTATTTTCTTTTCTTTCTTTTTTTTCTTAAAAACAAAAAAGTAAAGGGAGTAACCTAACCATGGAAACCCAACCCAGGGAAACCCACTACCCCCCCGGGGGCCCGTTCTTGTTACTGCACCCCTTTCCCGGCCCCTTTGCCTTGTTTTTAGACCATTTTTTCCGGGACACTCCTGTTGCCCCTGTACCTCTTGCGGGTGCTTTTCCCCCTCACCCGCTTCAACCGGGGCTTCCACGATTTCCTTCATTTGTCTGAACTCCGCTCCCCTTTTTGACTTTTGTTTTCCGGGCTTCTCCCTCTGGGGTATGGAAAATTTTTCAAAATCCCCCGCCCATTTCACCCCGGGACCAACCCCGGGTCCTACTCCTAAACCCCCAAAACGTCAATCTTCTGATGATGCTCCTTGGGTTCCCTTTCCCCATTCTACTCGGAAAAGCCCGGGAAAACGTCATGCACTCCCTCTCCATGCTCAGTTTGGGACCACAAAAATGAACAAATTCTTTACTTAAAGGGACTGACTTTTTCTTCTGCCCCCTTTTCCCTGACCATAGTATTGGCCAAGCTCTCCGGGCCTCGTTGGTTAGAGATATTTTAAATTTCATGCTCTCAAGATGGTACACCATCGTCCCCGTCCAGAATGCTCCCCAAGCTCAAAATCTTCTTCCTTTCAAATTTATCGATACACTACTATCACTTTTGGGAAAAAAACATCTTTTCCTAAATTCTTTTTAGTGGTCTGTCTTCGCCCCAAAACCATATTTCCAACAAATTTTCCCAGTCATGTGGCAAGACATTGTTGAACGCTGGAATCGGGATCCCCCCCAACCCTCAAAAACACTTAGGGTCCTTCCTGCCCGGGGGCGGAGACTTCCCCTTTGGGAAATTTGGCTCGTTTAACTTCTGACACCCGAGAACCCCGGGTCCTCTTAATGTCCGGGACTTTTGGTTTACAATTTCCCAAAAGGTGAAAACCAAACACCGCAACAGGTAGAAATTGCTGGGCTTTTTGTCACCCAGCAAAATATTGCAGATCTATGGCCGAATCCCCAGTCTGGGTGCCGACGACCATTCTAATACACCCTTGCAGTCAACCATTTGCCCCTTTTTGTAAAGAAGCTCACCTTCCCTACTACCGCCTTTTCCGGGTTTCTTTTTTAACCCCTGAAATCCGTTGCCTCCCAAAAAGGGGAAGGTCTCCCTTATCTATGGCAGTTAAAATCTCCGCCTCCAAGGGGGGACTTTCCCCGTGTTTTTTATTCTCGTGTTTTAAAAAATCCCCCACTTTTTTGGGGTCCCATCTTTTGCCCGCCTCCTCTGTTGTTTTCCCCCCCATAGCCAATCCAGCATCTAAACCTTTGCTGTTTCCCTTGGGTCTGACTCCCCCACTACAAAATCGGGCTGTTTTTACATTTCGCGTCCTTCCTCCAAGCCCCCGTAAAAAACGACAAAACCTCGTTTTGAACCCAATACCAATCGCCCCCCTTCTTCTCCCGAAGTCCAAAAAAAACCCCATTGCTCAAAACTTTGCCCCCTTTCCCTTTCCCCTTTCCCCCCTCCACACTTTAAACCCTTTTCCCGTCTCTGCACCAGTTCCCTTTCCCCCTCCTGACCATTACAAGGGGGAATTCAACCCCCCTCCTGTACTATGCCTTTTCCCCCCCCGTCCCCTTCCAAGTTTTTCCCCCCTTCTGCCCCCTCCCAGGTTTTTGCCTCTTCTGTCCCCCCCCCCCCCACACTTTATTTTCAATCCCCTTTCCTTTTTCCCCCCCCCCTCTACTTGGTACAGTCCATTACTGTCCCAATCTTTACTCACCTCCTCCTTCTATCTCCAATATGGTCTCCCATCATCTTTTTAATTCAGAAACACCCTTTAAGCCATTTTAAAAATTGGGGAGAAAATAAAACCCTTTAATGGGGCACTGATTCCCTTCCTGTTCCTTTTTTCCCCTTTCCCCCATCTTCACAAAAAAAAAAACCCTTTCCCGAAAATTGAACGCCCAAGCCAAATTTTTCAACCCCCAAAAAAACCCCATTTTTCCCCCCGTTTCCTTGGTATTTTCTTTTTCCCCCAAAGGGGCCAACAGTTGGAAAATTTTTTCCCCCTCAGGGGTAAGGGGGACCTTTCCTTTCCCGGTTTTCCCCCCGGGTTTTTCTTCAAGCCAAAAAACATGGCCCTTTTAAAATGAAAAAAAACCGGGGCCTCAGGGGGTAATGGGGTCTTTCAATTTCCCCTTTTCCCCGGCCCCCCTT